ACGCTCACTTACACACCATCACACAAAACAGGAACTAGGTATTACTTTAATTAATTTAATAATTTTTATAGATTTTTCCTTTCGTAAATGTTTCAAACTTTTTCTATATATTTTGTATTCCATTCCATCTTTGGCTATATCTTTTGTATAATTGTTTTTATGTATAATTTTTGTTAGCGAAACGAAATAAATTTTTTTTTTTTTTTTTTTTAAACTCTTCATCTATCTGCAATCAGCCTCTTGGCTTTTATCAGATTTTTAGGGGAAAGGTTGGCAATTAGGGAACGCAAATCCAATAATTTTTACTCCCTCCGTAATTTTTAAACTGTCAGATTGCGGCAAGTTTCGCCCTTTTTAGCCGATAGACACTGTCCGTCATTTCCAAGAGGCCCGAAGCTAGGGGGTTCACGTGTTGCTGAAGTCTCATTTTGTATCGCACGGTTGATCTTTTAATGTCTTCCTCGACAGTGGCAATTCCCAAATATTTATGGACTTCAGTATTTCGTGTTAACCACAGCGCACCGCTCATATTTCGCAGTGTTTTGCTTTGTAGCCGCTGCAGGATTTCGATATTAGAGCGGCTTGCTGACCCCCAGAGCTGTATCCCATAGAACCATATTGGTTTAATTACAGTTTTATAGATGAGGAGTTTATTGTCCAAACTGAGTGCCGCATTTCTGCCTAATAGCCAGTTCATGCTTCATGAAACGAAATAAATGACAAGAAAGAAATATTGATACATTTTGCTTACCCGTTTTGACGCAACCAATAGGGTAAGATTCAGAGACAATAATTACGGGCGAACTTTGACATCTACATGTCAAAATCCTATAATTTTTTGACGTACGATAGACAAGATTAGTGCTTAGTATCAATTATAAATTAGTTACCCTTACACTTTAATAATACATCGCATTCGTATTTATAGAAAGCACTAAAGGTCATACTTTTCTTTATTTTATTAAAAAAAACTACTTCAAACATTAAATTATTTTCTCCTAATATTAAACATATTTTAATAAATGCGCGATTAAATGTTTACTTGGCTTCACAGATTAGTAAGAAAGTTTGCTCTTTTCAAGAAACGCACAAGACTTGGCTTAGCCGCAACTCGGCTAGCCTTGACTTGGACCGCCTTACAATGACAGCTAATACTACCCCGAGTGCACATGACATATAACAATGAGATTTTAGTTTCTATTCCCACACAAAAATACCTAGTCAGTGTAACAGACACATCAGGCTCCCATTTTATTACATTATATTAATTTATTTCCCAAATTATTATACCTTAACAGTTACTGCTAAGATAGAATAGAATACGATAGAACTACACAATAACTAATAATTCTACAATTTAACAATATCTAGGCTATATACTGGCTGTTCCCTGCCACGCTTGTCTGTGGCACATTGTGATTGAATGGTTGAGAAATGAGAAACAAAACAAAGAAAACATTTCATAGAAGTTTAATTTTGCAATACTAGTGGAAAAAAATAATGATAAAATAAAAAAACAATAAAAAATATATTAAAAAAAAATAGATAATACAATCCTTGATGCGGATTATATATCATGCTAAAATTGCTTGATCGGTGCAGAACTTTTTGAGTTTTTGAAGCGTACACAATCCAACATAACATTTTGAAATATATAGATACCTAGCTCTTTTAACTAATAACCTAACAAACGGCTCTTGTGAACTCAGCCAGTGTACAAAGAAATATTGTTTATTTATTTAAAAATTACATTATAATTAAATATAAATGATATACATGCACTGTAAAGATTAATTGTAAATAAGCAACATCAAAATTTGTATGGTCCAGTTAACATATTAAATTCGAGGAAAGTCCATCATGCTCCAATAAGATTAGCTATTCCACTTTTATAATAAATTTCATTATTATGTTGAGTTAAAGAAAAAAAAATTATAGCTGTGATATAGGTACCTTGTGATCATGCATTTTATGTTTCCTTGCAGACTTCATTTCCTTGGTCATATTAAGCCAATTAGCATTATCCAGTGACCCTATTGGACCATAGACCACCTGCCCTGGATAAAACTCCGCTGATGAGTAAGGGGTTCCACGACGACGTCGCATGGAATAGTCTTCTAGTGGACACGTATCAAGGTCTGGATATTCTAAACGGGATCCATCAGCTGACACTAGGCGAAGTTTACTATGTACAGCCTAAAACAATATATAAAAAACACCAAAATAATAAATAATTATAAATATAACATACATATTTCAAAAAAAAAGAGTATTTTATGGTGTAATTTAATTATATATAATTTTTCCGCCCACTAGGACGCCAAAGTTTTACCAATGATAATATATTTTACACACAACACAAAGTTGTGGGGTACTATGAAGGTACATTATAACCAAACCATTGACAACATTATTAATATAATTACTAATTCAATGTAATATGTATAAGGTATATTCTTATATATACCTTATAGTTTTAGTTTAAACCATAAATCACAATTGCATTGTCAGTATTCTACAATGGCAACTAAACACTTTACCAATGTGTGAGATATTGAAAATTTAACACATCATTATTACTAGTTATAGTTTTTAAGTATGATTTTGTTTAACTGAGAGTATTCTAAATCATTGCAATTATAGCAAGTGCAACTGCAGTTGTTGGCAGAGTGATATTACTAAAACAAATTGTTTGAAGATTGATCTTAAACCATGTTACACTTGCTGAATTAATCATGATTTAATGAAACCAAATATTAGAAGTAATTAAATGGACTAGTAGTTATTGCCATAATTTATTTATTTTATTATCATAGTTCATACATAATTTTATATTGGTACAGTCCCATTGGGAAAGTTCACAGCGCACAATATAAAAATCTAGATTAGAACATATGTAATTAATAAAAAGTATCTATTACAGATAAAAAATAATATAAATGTATCCTATGATTAAGTTTTGTAAATACTTAATTTCTGGCAAATTTTAAAAGATCTAGTCTAGAATTTTAGGTCAAATTAATTAAAAATAATGCCTTGAACTAAAAAAAACAAAAATGACTACACATTTAACAAAGGTAAAGTTATGTTTTAGAAATAATGCATCACTTTAATATAATGGTCACAATGTACCTATAACATACATGGCATAGAACTAATTTTATTCTAGAATTGTGGGCAACACCCTTTTACTTATAGATAAAAGATTCAATGTAAGCAAAATCAATGTTAGCAATAGCTTTAACTCCTCCTAAAGTATCCTTTTATTTTCTTCCTGTTACATAATCATTCATTATTCTTACCTTTGAAGTACCAACCCAAGAATCAAGACACACAGCTAAATCTGGAGTGAATTCTTCTAAGGGTTGCAGTCTTTCACTGGCCACATTTGGTATAACATGTTTGGTTCCAACTATCTGGAGAGCTGCAGTCATTTCAATGTCTCTGCAGTATCCTCGCTGGGTGTCTTTGCCAGCTATAAGACGACGGACTACATCTCCTGGCATCAATGACCGGTCAGCAAGTCCAACCTGCATAAATGTGGTACTATATACTATATAATTTTATACCCATTAAATTGTTTTGGGGAAGGAAATTGACAAAATTGAATATATATGTTTGAATAAGAGGATAAATTTATATTTGCTATATTATAAAAGATGAATAAATAATATAAAAGGAAAATTCAATGTGAATTTACGAATAGAAATATAATTTGGGCGTATTTGGCCTGTGAGGGTAACAATTTTGTTAACATAATCTGTTTATTGAAGGTAGAAAAAAAGATAACGTCAAAGATGGCGTGGTATTTCATTTCCTGATAAAATTTTAAATAATAACTTAATGGATATTTAAAAATCATTGAAATGACTGACAAGTATTTAAAAATGTAAGTTGTTTCTCCATTGGTATTGCTGATTCTCGTACAGTATTATGCATCTGCAGGGCTTTGGAACTTCTTGTACTCACCGACTTTTCAGAAACTACTCTTTCGGTTCCTGAAGGGTGCCACACAACTCGAATTTCTCCTTTTTGAACAGGAGTTTCAATGTCACTCTCTTGGTCGCTAGAATTTGCTTCATAGTTTTCGAGAACAAGACCGAAAACGACTTGGCCGCGGTTATTTATTTTATACACTTCATCTTCGTAGAAATATTGGAAGTCAGTTGGAGATCCTGGATTTTGGCCCGCCATGTTGACGGGAATTATCTAGAGACACAAATAATTTTGTTTTTTACGTGATTAAAATTCTCTCTGACAGCTGATTGTAAAGTGTGGCGCATGCGTCAATAATTTAATAATTATCCAGTGTTGCCATCAATCGATTTAATGATTTACCATAATGATTGTCAGATTGCCATACCAAAATTTGTCATATCAATTTTAAAGTTTATTCAACTCTGAAATATCGCAAGTTACATTATGACTATCGACCAAGCTATAATTTTACAGGAATAACATTCTTAAGCCATTTCATAATATGAAAGGGCATGTATAGCCTGGGTTATATATAACTTTACAAGTTATTATTTTTTAAAGACATTATATCCATTAGATATAGTTCGCACTTCGCTTACCATATTTTATCATAATCAATTACATAAATCAATTAAAAATAAATAAGAATATCGTTAATAGAATCGGATACATTTGTGATAGTGTTACTATTTTTCAGATTGCAATTACGTATTTTCTTTACAGGCGCATCCTTTTTTATTTACATAATATAAAAATAAATTTAAATAACATTGCTATAATAATAACGTTGAATGGAAAGTACATATCGGTCGTTTTACATCAATTACCTTTAACCTCCTCGTACTTCTTGCTGTGACGTAGTTAGCGGTACACGATTCGCGATCAATACGTTATCATAGCTATGTGGGTGTTTACATGCGCGCAGTCCACTGAATAGTGAAGGAAGTGCTCTGATGATATCGCCGCGTGTGATAGCACTAATCTGCAATACTTATTCGATTTATTCCTGAAATGTAAACATCATGCCGCTACCTGAACTAATTAAACGAGCATCAAGTTATTTTCTTGGCTTGGAGTTTGACGACGAGGACCCACCCGAATATGTGGACAACGAAATCTTATTCTGCAAGAACAATGTGTGCGTTCACCCACCAACTATCGCTAGACATGAATTAGATATAGTGCATCATCCGGGCTATCTCACTGTGACGACCAAAGTATTTACAGATCAGCATAACAATGCGAAACGACCTACATTATTTCTCAATTGGATTCCCAATTCTACGCTCAGGAAATGCCCATCAGCTGTTGAAACGAGCCCGAGTGAGGAGATCTGTAACATCAATATACCCTCTCATCCAAAAGATATCCCTGTTTCAAAACCTAGAAAGGAGAAAGTAAGAAAATATGATAATGCCTTCTCCGACTCCTCAGATACAACGAGCTTGAACTCGAATTCAGATAAGCAAAGTATTAAATCTTATGACACAAGGTATACTCAAAATGATACTACGAAAGACGAGTTAAGAATTGCAAGGCCAACGATAAAATCCGCGGAATCTATTAAGGATGATGTGTACGAAGTAAAAGATGAGTCTCAAATTTTCGAAGGCGATAAACACGTTCGGTCGCAGTCGATGACTTCAGTTAACATAACGATTGCTAATCCTAATATCGAGAACGTTGACTTGACTCCTGACTCGCTCTCGGGTGGCTTCGTGAGGTCATTGTCGATGAGTTCATGTGACGAGGGCAACCCTAATTGGATGAGCACTCCAGAATTTCTGGCCCTGAAACATAACTTGGTGTTTCCTGACAGCGTGCACAGTTCCCCAGCACCTCAGCGTAGGGCTCCTCTTAAATGTCGAAGGTGAGATTATTTCGAAGAAACATGAAATCATATAATATTTGGCTTCAGATGAACGTAACTGTGCTAAAAAAGAAATCTTTTCACTAACGTGAAGAACACGACATGCCTTAACGTTGCGCTTATTGAGTTTTGCGCGTTCCAATCAATTATTTCAACAGGAAGCCATGATTGTTTACTAATATGGCTAGCCATTATATTATCATCTTAAAAACACATGTATTTATTTATTTATAACAGCTTGCCAACGCTCGGCACACTGATAAATTGCACAAGATAAATAAAATATTTTTTTTAATGTGACAAGCACTTATAGGCAAACATCACGAAGAGATAATAAAAAATTAAACAAAACAATTTAATGTTTATAATTAAACTAAACGAAAATCGATTTAAAATTGTGAGGAACACATGGAAATTGAGCGATTCAAACTTGAAAGCTTAACACAGAAATAAACTTATTCTTTAAATAAAAATTATGGTATTAAAATAAATTAAATTATGAGTTTGTTAACAGTAAATCTTCTCAATTGTAGTAAAACAATTCTAACAAAATATAAATATTAACGAAGGACGGTTAAAAATAAACATTTGTATTGCGATAATGAATTGTCCTAGTTTTCAAATGTTCAGCATATTGTCGTGTACCGCGTTGTTGAATAATAAGTAGTGCGTACACGTGTAAATTGTAAAACTGCTGCAGTATGTAGAACTAGTAGAAAATACACTTTAACGGAAAAAAATATATAATGAACAATAATAATAAATAAATCGTTTATTTGCAAAGAAATAAACAAATAATAATTTGGTACCTACATTTAGATCGATTAATTATAAAAATCCGCACAATCAGCCACACAAAAATAGGCATGCAAATGTGATATTAATTTGCATAATATCACATAATAAGAACATTAACATAATGTCATAATAATAAGTTCAGTTATTTATAATTGTTGTCAATTTTATGGTCTAAACACTCGCCCTTGAAAACATTACACTCTGTTTCCAGGTTCTCCGTCGATCTTAGTCAAATGCGTTCTTTGCGCTTATTTTTTAATGATGATAACTGCACCTGTGGACAACTTGTGGTAGCGTCAAGGGAGTCTCAATATAAAATTCTACATTTTCATCATGGCGGACTTGACCATCTGGCTCAAGTACTACACAGATGGCACTCTTTGCTCCATAATATTAAACTTACGCCAGGTAAAGCAAATTTAACAATAATAATAATCATCATTTATTTGCAAGAATATGGTACAAAAATGTTAACGTGGTACAATCTTAAGTTCGCATATTCTGCCACACATTTGCCAAATTTGTCTTAAAAGGAGTTTTACATAGAAGTTTATATATATATATATATATTAATACGTTATCAAATTATAATGTTTCACGTAAATATTTATTTATAGAATAATATTTATTTCCAAAAGTCGATTTTTAAAAACTCTAGTAGGTAGGTAGATCATTGAATGTTTTTAATAAATTATTAAAAACCATACAAAAGGTGTGTTCCTATACAATTCCAGATAAATTTTGGCACAGCCAATTTCTCCCCATGTCTACTTCAAACTCAAACTGTCTTTATTCATGTAGGTAAACAATTACACTTATGAATTGTCAAGTTAAATTAATTGTAAATATACATTTACTACCAGTTCGCAAGTCAAGGGCGTAGAGCGAGTAAGAAGAACTGGCAAGAAACTTTCCGCCACTCTTTTTAATCGCCAAGTATTGTCATACAAATTGTTTGAACTGGAGCAAATCAATCCCAAGGATTAGGATCATTTAAGTATTCCCAACTTTCCTTCGATAGATGTCTCCCGTTGACTTAAAAATAATTATGTTTTTGTGAACGGATACGGTCATTTCTAAAATATACATACAGAGAAGAGATAAAATTTACACTATTTGATATACGTTACTTGAAGTTTTTTCATTCCTGTGAGACTTGGACCACATCTATATGCAGTTAATGTCTAGTTAAAATTCTTTAGCCTACGACTACGCCTTTCAAAACGAAATTTTATCATGAACTGATATTCGAACGTGAAGTACGTATACCCAACATTCCTTTTCCCGACCTTCTAACCGGTGTATTTTGTTTTAGGCTCCGAAGAACCGAATCTACCATACCGTCACTTTATGGTGTGCCGGCCAGAGGTGCAAAAATCAGAACAACACCCAGAAGAGGGAAAACTTCCTAAAATAACCCCAGAATTATATTACGGAAAGATTATGAATAGCAAAGGGGTTATCGAAGATGACCTGTTCCTTCGCAAATGTATATTCTTTGGGGGGTTAGACAAAGAGTTAAGGCGGGAAGTCTGGCCCTTCCTTCTTCACTGTTATCCATACAACTCTACATATGACGAAAGGGAAATTATCCTTCAAATACGCACAAGGGAGTACGATGAAATTACTAAGAGACGTCTGGAAAAAATGACCCCTGAGCAACACGCAATGTTCTGGAAGTCTGTACAAAGTGTAATAGAAAAAGACGTTGTAAGAACTGATAGAGGAAACCCGTTCTTTGCTGGAGAGAATAACTATAATGTAGAGATAATGAAGAATATATTATTAAATTATGCAATATATAATCCGGTTTTAGGGTATGTATTAGTCCAAAACATCCGACCTTAATGGTTGCTGCCTTTTTGCAACCAAATGAAGACGTTCAAGTTAATCCGTGTAATTAATTATATAGTATTTGTGCTGCAGAAGCGGGCTGTTAGGGGTATTTGTTGTGTTTCTCCGAGGGAGTCGGTACGGAATAAGTTTAAGGAATTTAATATTATGACACTATCTGGTCAATATATTCTTGAAGCCTTGTTGTATGTCCAAAAAAATATAAACGATTTTAAAACAAATGGTGACTTTCACCAGTATAATACGCTAAATAGAACTAATTTGAGTGTACGACCAACCAGGCTCCAAAAGATAAACCACTCCTGACTCCTTATAATATGGAAATTGTATTCGTTTTTACAACAAACTCCCTAGCGAAATTAGAGTATTATCACTAAATAAATTCAAAGCCCTCGTTAAACGTCAGTTAATCAATAAAGCGTTTTATAAATTTGAGGAATACTTAAATGATCCTAATCCTTGGGAATGATTTGCTCCAGTTCAAACAATTTGTATGACAATACTTGGCGATTAAAAAGAGTGGCGGAAAGTTTCTTACCAGTTCTTCTTACCCGCTCTACGCCCTTGACTTGCGAACTGGTAGTAAATGTAAATTTACAATTAATTTAACTTGAAAATTCAAAAGTGTACTTGGTTACCCACTTGAATAAAGATATTTTGAGTTTGAGTTTAATAAAGACAATATTAGATTAGGTATAAAAATCTAATATTATACAAAATTGTTGATTACTTCAAGCCTGAAATCTTTAAAAATAATCTCACATATTATTACAATTACACAATATTTACAATATTCTTAAATTATTATGTGTTACAGTTACACCCAAGGAATGAGTGATCTTCTTGCTCCTGTTCTATGTGAGATCAAATGTGAAGCAGAGGCTTTTTGGTGCTTTGTAGGTCTCATGCAGCGTGCCATCTTTGTCTGCACCCCAACTGACAACGATATGGACAACAACTTGGTAACATTCTTACTTATATTTTTAAAATATACTTAACATAACACATTTTAAAGATAATACGGTAAATGAAGCCTTAAAGAGTACACAGTTTTTGCTAATATATATAATATTATTATTAATGCATATATATTTTAAATATTAAAAAATTGAAAAAATATACAAATATTTATAAACAATGTTTTACCGCGAAAACGCTCGATGCGAATGACGTTTATTATGCAATGCACAGATAACACTTCGTAAATGTTGCCAACGCAGTTTGATTCAAAATTTTAATTGTATGCTAAAGGTCAAATTTCTTCATAAGCAAAAAGTCTAATCACCCGAAAGAATGTTTGGAACAGTTTATACGACGCAAAAGCACATTTTGACGGTTTTTTTATATACATACTTACTATCCGAAATTGAACTGAAAAGTTTTCGTATTTTGACACGTTAAATAAAACTTATAATAAGGTTCAGTTTTATTTGGATGTCATTGTATTTTTCAGAGCTACTTAAGGGAACTTATCAGAATAATGGTGCCACACTTTTACAAACACCTTGAGAAACATATTGACGCCATGGAACTACTGTTTTGCCATCGGTGGATATTATTGTAAGTTTATCTTAGAAGTTTTTACGATTTCTTAACTAAAACATATAAGGATATTAATCATACTTTGTTTCGTAGTATTAGGAAATAGAAGTATTATTTATGAAAACTTACTTTACTGGTTTGCAACGCGTTCATTTATTAATATTTTACAAGTTTCCTTCGCTAGTCTTAAGTATATTTTCGAATTACTGATGAATTATTAATACATATCACAAAAGAGACATGAATTTTAATTTTCAGCTTATTTAAATTTATTTCCACGTTTTTTGTTGGTTTATTTATTATCATCATAAAATTTTGTTTATTCTAGATTTTTCGATATGAACTCAAAAAGTTTATAAACAAAGTATCTATTATCGTAGTGATTAATATTAAATTTATTAAAATATAATAGAAAACTCAAATAAATTTAAAAGGTTCGGTTCCAGTGGCTGTGTAACTTCAATGCTGGCAGAATTTCCTCGCTGTATTGCGATACCGAGCGAGCGAGGAAAGCACCAGCTCTGGTACTGGTACTGGTGCTCTCAGCACCGATACTATCTACCAGGCGCCAACTAAAATCATTAATTAGAGCCGGTGCACTTGAACCCTACGGCTCAAGTATTTACCCAAAGGGAAATCAAGTTGGAGGAAAGACTAATATTTTTGCTGTTTATTATTTTCCTCTTGTTCATCTAAAAAGTTTCTTGTTTCAGATGTTTCAAACGCGAATTCACGGAAGCAGTGGCTCTCCGTATGTGGGAGGCCTGTTGGGCCAACTACCAGACTGACTACTTCCACTTGTTCCTATGCCTGGCGATAGTTGCAGTATACGCTGATGACGTCATCGCACAAGACCTAAACACCGATGAAATGCTCTTGCATTTTAGTTCTTTAGGTGAGTAACTAATTGTACAATTGTTTGGATTTTATAAGCAGTCCTTCGTGTGACTCTCGTCCCTGAGGTCGTAGGTTCGATCTCTGTGCATCAATGGACTTTCTATGTACGCATTTAACACTCGCTCGTACGGTGAAGTAAATCATTGTGAGGACACAGGCATGCCTTAAACCCAAAGGTGACTGCGTGTGTCGGGCACAGAATTATGACCTACTTGCCTATTAAGAAAAATAAAAGATCACGAAGCAGATGTCAATCTGAGGCCCAGACTTAAGGTTGCAGCGCCACTGTTTTCGTATTATATACGTGATTTATTATTCCCATAATAAATGCTTGCATCTTTTCCACCATGCCTATTGCTTTAAGATGAGATTTGGATTTGTTGTAATGGTTGCAGCTTCTTACAAACAGTATCAATAGAGTGACGGAGAGTTTATTGCCAGTTCTTTTTGTTCGTCCTACGCTCTTTTTTTGATATTTCTCCATATAAGTAGATAACATGCGTTACCTATAGGAATGGTAATAAATGTAAATTTAGTTTTAATTACATATAAATTGCGTTTATTAGTGCTAATATGAATAATTTTGATTTCATATTATTACCTAGTCAAGTATTTATCGCATCTATTTGTAGCTCGAGCGACTACCCAGTTATACAATCAATCAGATCATAAAATAATTCTTCCAGCAATGTACATGGACGGGCGTCTAATACTGCGTAAAGCACGCGGGCTTCTGTACCAATTCCGCCAACTAGTTCGGATTCCGTGCACTTTAGCTGGAATGTGTCAAAGATGCGGTCCCGGAATATGGGACTCTACACATCGGCCAAGCGTGGAATGTACCGGCGCACACGATTTCTGTGAATATGCAGTACAATAGTTTCCTGAAATGTTTGTAATGATTTATCGAAATGCTATATCGTTGAATACCCATGAGCAATTCTCTTGTAGTTTTGGAACGTTGATATTTAAATTAATTAATGTTTTACACGGGTTATATTTAACCCGGATATGTGTAAAGTATACGTATAATAGTTATTGTTTTCAAGACCTAGTACAAAATTTTATCAGTATTATTAAATGTTTATAGAAACATAGCATAGAGTTCGTGTTCCATATATTTTGACTCAAGAGAAATTAAACCGCAAAGTATTAACATATAGCAACACCTACAATCTTGTGCTACAAATCACTGCGATGACTTCATACCCTGAAACGCGCTAATGTCGACGATATAATGTCATCCTTCCTCCACAAACACAATTATTAATTAGAACATTAATTGGTAAACTGACCATCAATAAAGGCCAACACGCACTAAAAAACCTAAGAATTGAAGTCAATTTAATAATATGTATAAAATAATAATTTTATAACCATATTTTCCTACAGTTTGTAAGACAAATGTGACGATTATAATTGTGTATGTAAATTACAGCCTGATGGAAAATATTAAGTGATATAAAAATATGTATGAACAGATATTTAATAGAACTAAATTCAATTGTTACATCATTATGTAACACCTTTTCTGGCAGCCATAACTAAAAGTTAGATTTTGAAAGTTATTATTAACTGTTTAGTTTAACAAATTAGTTTTATGATAATACAATCAGTGTTTTTTATTGAACTACATTAATTATGTATTCTGTAAGTAAAACAATGGCTGACAATGAAACTTCAATTATGGCAACATTTAATTGTAGTCCATGCCTGCTTATAAGGAATTGGCGCGAATTTTAATTTATATAAAATCATATCACACAAGTCAAACATTGTGTTCTAGTCATAATCATAGGGTGTATTCACATTTATGGTATTTATTACATTTTATAACGTTATATTGGTAAAATTATATGTTAAATTGCGCGGTACGAAGTTTACGTAACAAGGTACCTGTCTAGTATTAAAGAAATATAACTGTCAAGAGTCGGGTTTTCGTATTTTAGCAGCGATAGAACGTCAAATTATAAAATGTAGAAGTCGATAAATGTTATTTTTATCATATGCCTAAGGTTTACATATCCGTTACCGTACTACCGTACCATCAACTGTACGTTCCGAATCAAGTCTATCCATAGCGAATACGGCGAATACTATTTGTTACACTGTCAATATAATAGGCGCTATATTTGCAACTACAGCAATTCTACCGATGTTAAATTATGAGAATTGAAACAGTTTAATTGTATACATAGTAAATATATTAAGCAGTTACCACAGTATGAAATATTTTTTTATCGATCACTGTTTGGCTGTTAATCTATTTCACGAAAGGAGCTCTGTGGATGGCCCCCCTATTGAATATAAAAAACCTTTAGTTTTGCGTTAAAAGTCCATGGAACTTCTTTCGTTAGACAGATTGTATAGACTTTGTATTTATAAGGGTTTCAAGACATTATAGCTGCTTTGATATCGACTTTGTTTTCTGTGATAACACAATGGTCTGCTTTAATTGTGCAAATTGTTTATGATGCATTATTTGATAAGGAAGCGTGAAAATCATATCCATTGATATAATTATATACCTGTGGCATGTTATGATTGTTTTTTTCCTATGACCTATTAAATAATAAATTAAGTATGCAATTATGTAAAGCGAGGCAGTTGTCGCTTGCGTTATAGGAAAGACAATTTTCATATTGGCTTTGGTTATAGATATGCTTACAAAATGTTTGATTTGGAGATCCTTCAGAATTCATTCGGTTTGGAAATAGGCATTAGATTTGTTTTTTTTTCAACGACAAATAATATTATGAAACTTTCAATAAAATTCCGATGTCGTGTTATCGAGCCTAACTCTGGTACACTAAATAGCAATCCCAACCTCAGTTTTGAGATTTTGTAACTCGCCATCCCGAGTTTGTAAATTTTTTTTTTTAAAACCTGTACCAAAATTGCATACTAAAACAGCGAGATTGCTGTAGGTACAGAAAGTTATACCGGTGCAGGAACTTCATGTTAACGACGTCAGGACTACGGATATTCAAAAGAACTATATAGTACCAGAGTTGATGTAAGCAGGTCTCAAAATTAGCTCCATACTTTATTTTTTACGCAAAATTATTATTAAGTATAAATTGAGTTTCTTAGACGAATGATGAGTGAATTGATATTTATTTTAAATATTGGTGTCCAGTAAAAATAAAACAATACTTCTTTAATTTTATTTATTTTTCATTGTAATGGCCATTGTTTACTTTGGCGTTTACTGTACGAAAATCAATAGGCGACGTTTGTTATAAAACAAACAATAATTATTTAAAATGTGATATTACAACAAAATAACGTAACAAGATATATGTATAGGGGAAGATCGTTACCCTTCGTACGCGGGGCACATTCATACAGTCAAAATAAAACTTGAACGAAACAATATACAGTCTTGCTTTTTTATGTGTGCATGAGTCGAGGTACCATCTTTACATCAACGAAGTTTCGAGAAATTCGCACCGATGAGAGTGAAGTTACAGGCATGGACGTGTTTTCGCGCTCGGTTAGTAATTTTTTGATCAATGTTTTTGTCTCTTGTTACCGTAGATAAAATAAGTTTTCGTGTAGAGTATTCTATCAGTAACTAGCAAAATATACTTAAGATACGTCTCCAATACTTAATTTAAGACGTTTTCCTATTAATATTAAAATATGTTATATTTCGTTGTTATTCAGTTAGTGGGGTACATTCGGACAGCACTAGATGGGGCACATTTGAACGAATTGTACAACTAAATTTGTATGAAAATTTGTCGACGCGAACTGTCATTTTCATACAAATTAAGTTTTCGACTTTCTACATACCCTACTGTTAAAGCATCTTGACTAAACCCTCTGGTACTTACCTACTTAGGTACGATTGTGTTAGTGTGCTAATTGCTAATTTTTGCATTAACTTTGTCCTGTGTTGCTATATTTACTATCCTCGATGTAAATATATATTAATACCTATTTCTTATTATCTTTATTAAGGTTGATTTTGATGCTTGTGAACCAGATGCTTTGAATAATTATTTACCAATCCATCAAATTGTAGTTCCTTCGAAGTCAGTTTGACACCAGAGGCATTTCGAAGTAGGTAATCAAACAAACAAAATGACGTCGACGGCCAGGAAAACCACGAATTTATACTGCCACACCGGAAAATAAGAAGTGCTAATCCGCACCAAAGATTAAGAAATGTGATTCTAAACTTAAGATACCTAACTAATTAAATTTAGTTTTACATAAGAAAAGCTATGTAATTTTTGTTCACTATAAGAAAAGTTTTTGTTTTATTTTTGTTTAATAGAAATTAAATCTTTATTTTTGTATTTAATTTCATTGCTAATAAATGAATTTTGATTTATATGTGTCGTTTTAATCGCACGTACGGAACTACCCCACAGCGTACGAAGGTACCCTCAACACTGTACGAAGGTGCCCCGTTGATGGGGCAGATTCGTACGTTTTCCAGATTTAGTTTAAATCATAATTATGGTTGAACCATCAGATGAAATCATTTGTCATTTTTTTATATGAATCTCAGATAGTTAGACTATAAATTTAAGCTATCAGGTGATTGATTCATGGAAAAATAAAAAAATAAAAAAATAAAATGTGAAAACCGTACGAAGGGTCCCCACCTTCCCCTATATTCCAAAATCTCAAGTCATAATCTAAAAAATTACAATCTTTATAAAAAATAGTTTGACAGCTTTCAATACTGATTTGACGTTTTATAATAAAAATAGGTATACACAATTTTAAAAACCTATGATTATTTAATTCACTGGGGGATTTGATTTAGATTCTCAGTGAGAAACTTCGGCGTTGAAGGCGTAGTATACATGCTTAAAATTCGTTAGGGAAACCAATGACTGTCAGATTCTTTAGACAATTGCATTTTAATGCAGCACCTTATCAAAATAAAAATAAATAATTTTAAAATACTTCCATCATGTATAATACAAATCGAATACTTTCTTCTCTTATAAATTATTTTAATATTAATTACAATTTTAATGCGTACTGCGCACTTCAACATTGAATAAAATATTTTATCAAAAACTTAAAATCAAATAAACTATTAGATATGGCAACCCAAACTTTATATTTAAATGATAAATGTTAACACCATTAAAATATAAATAAAAAATTCTTTATAGTCTGTATTGTGATGTTTCAGTATCCCTTTACAATGCTAATCTTTTAAGATCGGCTCACAGAGATTCTATATCAGAAAAGTATTAAACTATATCGCTTGCCCCGAGGAACAAAGTCGTAAATGCAAAATCTATTCCAGGAAATATAAAAGAATGCTATAATTAGTCATTGCTAAGTACATTACATATACAAATATATATATATCAAATCAAAGCTATATTTTTGCTATGACGATTTAAATATTGTTATGTATTTAGTATAAATAGTTAAAAAATAACTAAATATATACTACAGTAATATAAAATCTAATAAGATTGAAGAGCTAAAGCGTTTTACGATTGTATCACTGTTTAAACATAATTACGGACGACACAGTAACCGCACATTCTGACGAATGTCTAAAACGTAATAATGTATAACCACTCTTACGGAAATATTATGACGTTGGCGAAAGAGATATTATATCATTACCACTCTTTATTTGTTTTTAAACTGTCGCATTAACTTTTCTGGTTATTTGGTAGAATTACAATCTAAACTTTATGGTTGTTGCTATCTATTTCAGGAAAGTAAAATTAGAAGAATAAAAACATCTGCATGTTTTTTTTATAATAAAATGTTTCCAAAAGTTCTGAAAAAATTACAGTTATAAGTAGTACATCACCAAAGGAAGTAAAAAATGCGAAAACATTAAAACCGGGGCAAGCGATATCATTAATTCGTTTATAACTTACATAATTCGAGTTTATCATTACTAACTACTTACTAACCCATCTACCGTTTCACCAGTTCATATCATATTCTCGAAAATAATACATTTAAAAACTATAATATCAAAAACAGTCTTAGAAATACTTGTATTGGATAGATCTAATAACGTTGAGCGTCATTGGAGCCGTTCTCATCAGGTGATGCAACAGAGACGAGCGGTAATGGAACCGCACGTTCGAGGCGTTCCCAGAACTTCGGTTCATCCCACTCCAGATAGGTACACGTTGCCACGGCAACGGATAGATCCGCGGGCAGCGCTGCCGCTAACGTCGAACGCGGCACCGTCAATTCAGGCAGCAGTACGAGCAGCAGACGCGGCGTGCGTTCGCGCTGCGTCAACGCCCACGCGGCGCGAAATTCGGCACGCGCCCACGCCGATGCTAGAAATGCATCTGACAGCAGCACAATTGTTCGGCGGGAATCGCGAACAGAGCGCGCTATCTGCTCTGTAATGAGTTCACCAGGCGCCCAGTCACGATGGTGGAGGCATAAGCGACGCCCCTGCGATTCCAGTCGCGCAGCCAGTTTTGCCGCGCGACCAGCCTCACTTGTTGCGAACGATACGAATGCCTCATACCGCGCATCTTTTGCATCCATTTCTTCTGCTTCGATCTCAGCGCCACGCCAACGCCACCATAGGAACCACTGGAAAATAAATTATCAATTATACATTGCGTTAGCTATCAAACAAGTCAAAGCACGAATCGTACTTCTTCTGTATAATATGTATCACAATATCACCACATGTTTTACAATTAATATTCAATGTGCATTTCAACTGAGAGTTGTGAACCAATTTTTTAATTTTTTTATTCACTAAAATCCGCAAATGCCTCCCTCATTTTGCTTGCTAATCAAAACCATGTTTTATGGTTTTAAAAATTGTTAGTATGTAAGTAATTAAACGTTGACTAGCTTAAAAAAAATGTGATAAATGTTTTTTCTTTCTTTATTCTGTTCTAGTCACATAGCAGCTTTTGTATTACCAAATTATGGACATATGGTCTATTAGGGAAATCTAGTGCATGAGCCCCAAAGCCCCAAAAAATACCGTCGGTCAATGCGCCAAACAGCCTGATTATGAAATGATATGAAATCGGGATTACTACGATCGGAAAACAACATATAGAAGATTTTAGACATTACCTTAATTCGTTTCCTGGCTCGCCGACTTGTTAGGAATACGGCTAGAGACATCACCGCGAGTGCTGTCGCCGCAAGTAATGTCACCAACGCTGCCGTTAACGCCGGCCGCGCACATAACGCTCCCGCCTGCAATGCAGCTATTAAGCCGCCGTCTGAGCATCGCACTTGCGACCAGTCTTCTATTCGCGCAGATGCCGCAATCAGCGCAGCCACTGCTTCCCGTGCCGCGCACTCGCAGCTCAATGGATTGCCGGCAATACGCAATCGCCGCGACGCGTTTAACGCTGCCTCCACCTCTTCCAAATCCACTAGCTGTAGACGGTTATGTGAGACGTCAAGCAGAGTCAGGTTGGCGGGTAAAGCTGGGTCGAGTCGCGTCAAAGCGTTGTGCGCTAGATCCAGAGTCCGCACGGGCAATTCGGACGGTAAGGATGGCACGGCGTCAAGCTCGGCGCGGCTACAGCTGACGGAAACAGCCTCGCCCGTTGCAGCGCAACGACAGGCGCGTGGACACGGCGGCGCGGGCACTGGACATGTGAGATCTTCGAGCGGCATGTCCCGCAAAAGAGTGCCTCCGGAACAACGTAAGGCGGCGAGAGCTGGAGGTGCGTGGGCGGGCCGATCGCGGAGGGCGTGCGCGAACCAATAAACGTCACAATCGCAGCGTAGAGATGGATTGGAGATGACGTCATTGCAAAGGTGTAGGTTGACGCGCGACGGCGCTTCGACGAGCGCGGCGCGGTATTGCTCTCCAGAATAGCTTACAGTTTCGAGTGGATTGTCACACAATTCGACCGTCACGTTTGCTTGCGACCACTGTAGATCTTCCTCCTGTGTCATACATTAATTGTTGATTAATTTGTATTTTTCAAGTGAAACTTCTTTAGGCGCATGAGGGTGAAATTTTTACGGAACGTCACGAACATGTGCAGCGTTTTTGTCGAAGAAAAGGGGGAGAGAGCGATTGAGACTGATTGAGAGAGAGTGAGAAGGGCGAATTACCTTATAGAAATTCTTTTTTTTTTAAATTAAAATTTCGTAAAGAGAATTTATGAAATATAAGTATCTTATATTTTATGCAAAATATTTTTTTTTGCCACCTGTTTTTATTATCGAAGAAATATATTTAAAAAATTTAATTTATTATTTGTAATAATTTTCGACACTTAATATTTTAATGACAATTAAATTCAATTAATCCCTAACATATCTTCCTTTTTCCCTCCCTCTAAGCCTCGGTAATTTTTAGATTTCTATAAATATGAACAAGACTTAAAAATTAGTTTGCCAAAAAAGTTTCACTTCTGACATGTGTACTTTGTACGCACGAACTTTTTTTTTTCGTTTGTTTAATGTTAAATTTCAGTTTTGTTTAATTTTTCTTATATATTTTTGTCTATTAATTTACTTATGTTTTCTGTTTCATATATATTGTTTACATATGTAATCTGTTTTGGCTTTCAGTATTGTCTAAGTGTTTTGTTTTATAATAATATGTATGTTAGCTGTAAGATTTCTAATAAATAAATAATAAATAATTTTAAAAAAAGTGTGTTGGTAGAAGGAAATGAATGTTTCGTAACGTTAACACGAGGAACTCCAACGAGGAACAAAAGATTTTTAAACTTGTTTTGGGATCGGTTTAGAAAGTGAATTTACCTGGAGACGGGAGATGTTGTTTTTGCGTAGGTCGACCAGGTTCAAAGCAGGCAGATCTCGGCGCCAGTCAGGACAGAGACGTGTAGCGTTGGTACCTCGCAATCTCAAGACACGTAACGCGCGTAATCTCACCAGGGCGGATACTGCGTTTACATCTACATTGGACCCGCCACCACAAAGGTCACCCAGCGAAGGATTGTCGCTGAGATCTAGCTCACGCAGTTGCAGGAGCTCAGCTGTCGCCAATGCCCGCACCGACTGGCGATTCAATTTAGTGGACCGAAGCGATAGCGAGCGTAGCGCCACGTTCCATACTAATAATTCCCGCGGTAACGCCGTCGCCGCATGATCCATTAATTCTAATCTGATCAGCGCCGGGGCTCCGCGAAGCCACGCCTCGTTCACTGAGTCCAATCGACAACGGTGAACCTTCAGATCCTCTAGAGAGGCTGCGGGCGGTAGCGGAATCCGGCCGGCGGTCCCACGTGCAGCGCAGTACCACGTTAGTGACTTCAATTGGCCGCAGCTTCGCAGCCACTCCGTTGTTGTATTTTCTGGGGCGCCCACCAGTCGCAATGACCGCACGTTACAGGTTCCGTTGGGGACCACCGCGGCAGCGCCACCGCTCAGCGTCACATTTTCGAGTTTCGCGGCTACGCTGAGATTGATGAGTGGCGCGTGAATTACGACGGCACGAAGATTGGCCGCCGCTGCGAGAGGGGCGGTTCGCAGTCTATCACTCTGGATCTCTAGTCTTTCCAGTATGGTGAGGCGTAGCAACGCGGTGGGTGGCAGCTCTTCGAGGCCGCCACGGCGCAAGGCCAGCTGTTGTAAGGAGACGGGGAGCAGGCTGAGCGCCGCAACCTCGATGACAACTCCCATGAGGCGAAGAGTGACGAGGCTTGTACAGTCTTTTAGCGTATCAGCAATGAGGGTCGGTCTTCCGCGGTCCGCGCACAGTTCTAATGAGGTTAGGTTTAGGCTACTGCAAAGCGACAGTGTCTCGGCTGGCAATGCCGGCAGACCACGAAGAGTTAGATCAGTAAGCGCAGTGAGAGAAAGATTGAGTGCGGCTAGGGCGGGTGCCAACGCAGCGGGTGGAGTGCACCCGTTGAGCGTGAGGGTGGACACAGCGGTTGGGTGTGCAAATGCTGGCAGTATGCCATCATCTAAGTGTATGCCTTCAGGACATGATAGTTTGAAATGCTTCGCACCATACTTCACCGTTACGTCTTTTTCTGAAACATTGTTTTATTTGATTAATATTATTTAAAAACACTAATTCATTCTAACTCTCAACAAATTTTTTATAAAAAAAAAAATATTTTACATAAAACATTGAAATATTTAGATCTCGTGTTTATGAATAGGGGGCCTAGTTTTAATGACATATTGTCATTGAAAGATAGCAGGATCTGATAACAAGAGTTTTTTAATATTTTTAAATAAAATCATTTATTTTGAATAAAGTTATTCTTCATAAAATAGATATGTCGCAGCCAACTAGCTTAATTAGCCGTTTAATGAACAGCCTAGCCTTTTAACTAGAGGCCTGAAAGATGTTCTTGTGTGAACTTATGATGTGAAGATAACTGTGTAGCAGACAACTATGAAAATTATAACTGCAAGTAATTTGATAAGACTGTTATCATATTCCTTATATATTTAATATATTTTAATGAGTTTCCAAATTTTTTTTTTTATTGTTGTAGCTGAAATTGGCAGTGGATTTCTAGTTAGTCTATATTACCATTTTGAGTGTAACTTCTTGAAACTTTTAAATTAACCCTAATTCTAATACATTCTATAAAATGGTTTAGGGTGAACAAATTTAAAAATGTAAAAAAAAAGCAAATATGTAAAAATCTATTGATGTGTAGTCAAGTTCTAAAGGATGAAAAGCATTAAAAAAAGAATACTAGTAAACTGCTGTATTATTAATAACTTTTACGAGGTAACTATCACAACTTTGGTTAAGTTGTGATAGTTACCTCGTAAAAGTTAAAGTTATCTCTTAAAAACAAATTCAAAATATAATTTGTTTTAAAAAATTCGTATCTATTTTGAACAAGTAATATAGCCAGGTCTTTCAGGTCTGTTTTTAATGAAGGGACGAGAGAATGATGTACCAAAGTGAGGGAGGGACAGTAAGCTGGCAATAGCCGATGTTGTAGGGCAGCCTGGCTAAATACAATTTATTTTTGTTAGTCTGTACTTTACACTTAATATACAAAAACAATAAAATATATAAAAAAATAGTGTTTGTCAGCAAATAAAGACGTATCTGGTTTATTTGAAATCTTACCTGCCAAATTAATTTAAATTATAAACTAGTTATGTTATACGCTCACCTTGCAGACTAAACAAAAACTCATCAGCTTGGTGCCCTCGATACAGACACTGAGAAGCATTAACGTTTGGAGGACAGCGTAACACTGGAACTTCCTCTTTCAATTCAGGACTAGTAGCTCCTCCGTTCCATCCACACAACATTAAACACCACCATACTGCCACCCTTGGCATTTTGAAATTGCATCTCTGCTTGTCACACCCCACGAATAAACTCGAAGTCACAGGAATTTATGCAATCAATTTAATGCAACATTGTCAAAATAAAGTTAACTCAGAGCTAATTCTTGGAGTTGGAAAGTCCCAATCAAATTACACAAAATTCCACATTAATAATCATCGCTAAAGTTAAAACACTAATGCGTCCTACACTATGGGTGTTGAGGTAAATATTCAGCGAAAAATGAACTGTATATCTAATTTTCCTGTTATGTTATGAATTCCTCGAATTCCCTGAATCCCATAAAATCACTTCACATTATACTTTACACTGTAGGTTGCAATACTCTATGCTTAAAGAAACAAACAAGATTTAAATTAACAATTTCGACCATTTCAAAGATTTTGAAATGGTTTATTATTAGTTTCTTATCATAACAAAAGCGACTCCAAGAAGTTAAACAACAAAACCACTTTTATTTTTTAATTGTCAATTTGTCAACAGTTAGCACGTAGATAGCACAATACCTGACGGCTGTTATCTATGGACTAAGGGGTGTCCTTGCCCCTTGGAAGTTGGAATCTGAACTGCGCCGTAGTCTTTTGTCGCAAGACGGCAACAAACTGGAACTATCAACTAAACTTGATTTGAACAGCTTTAAGCTTATAAAAATAAATAATACCTACTTCATACTTGTACTGTAGGTTAGGACTTCGTGTTTAATAAGTTATAACTGATATTACATTAACGCTATAACCAAAATTTGTTTGAAATATCATCATATTCGTCATTTATATAAAACAGAACAACGATTTTATGATAAAGCGTAGAATAATAGCATAAAATGTATGCCAATGTTTTTATTTTATTCTACTTTTACATCTAATTTCACTTATTTGGATTTAAGTACTTGACTTTGTACGTATAAGGGGTAAATAAAGACAGAACCAACTAGAAAATTATAATTAAATTTTATTATTTATAAACAAGTAGGTACCTATATTTGTAGTTTTACAAAATTATTTACAATAAATATGTATAGTTACTTGTTAGGTTACTTGAACTTACATTGAGGGACAATAAACTTTTAGCTGGCAAAACTAATGATTGATAATTGCAGTCTAAATTATTAATAAAAAGTTATCAATTGTTATGAAGCAAATTATAAATTTAAACTTATAAGGTTAATACTTCGATTTATTGAGGTTTTAGGTTTGCATATACTTTCAATTTTACATAAATATATTTTCACGACAATTTTTTGTTAGTGAATGGTAATATCTCTCGGGAACAATTATAATTTAATTCATAATAACAAATAATTTCTACGCACCAAATGTGAGACTGGTTTGTGTTTCTTGTATTCAAGACTTTCTAAGGGCTTCATATTTAATAAAATATAAGAAATAGAGTCGGTTTACTATAAAATCTAACGCCTATATTATTTTATTTAATATTGCATTTAGCAATTAGGTAAGTTAGAGATATGATTTTTATATTTGTAAAAGTTAATAGTCTGTAGTCATTATATTAGTCTTTCAATAAATATTTACAATGACATTCTTAACTTATGAAAGTATAAAAATATACAAATAGCTCTTAACAAGGCTTCTTTATACAATGCAATTGTAGCTACTGTACCTACTGAATTTCAATTATAACAATTATTACATCTTATAAACATTATTATGCCATTACACATACACTCGAGTATTTACAAATTACACTCATAGCTAACTAAAAAAATTGGAGTGCATTTTACAAACCGCTTCGTTATAAAACTTTTAGATAATAATTAGGCTGAAAATATTTTTGTTGGCTTACTCTGTAATAACAGGTATTATACTAATTACTTTAGACGTAATTACAATGAACATCAACGCTGTGGAAAGAACTACGGAAAGAAAGTGCGAATATATTAATAATGCGCAATCGTTGCTTTTACCGCTTGAAATAAGGCATTAATATCTACGCAAATGGGTAAGATTATTCCTACAATCTATATACATAATAACAATTATTCCTAAGACATTTTCCACAGTATGTATAAAGTCAGGTATAAAAAACAACATGATTAATTGTTATGTGTAATCAAACGTGTTTCAATACAGGTTCATCACTGTAATATCAAGGTCATGTGTGTTATATTAATACATTACCAGATGGTTTTCCTCATTTGATAAGAATGAATCGAATAAACATTTATTGTATGGCTCAAGCAAAATAAATAATGGGTAATACCTATTGGGTTAATCCTGTGAATCGGCAAGTTAAAATAAAATGACAATAAAGCTTAGTTGTGTTAATTTGAATGCTACATTAAATTATCGATTTAAGACGTCTATTTAAAGGCGATCTATTAACTAATCCGCAACTATTAAGATAAAAGTATAGAGGTATATACTAGGGTATACTCTTGTCTCTTTCTGAGTATGTACACTAAATAGATAATGGTGCAAATTCTGATTTAATAGTAATAAGAATTGAATATCTAAATAATTTCTGGAATGAGGATTAAATTTTAATATTATGTATATCAGAATTTGTACCAATATTAACTAAATGTATTCAATCGTAACAATTCAATTAACACCTTTCCGAGTATTGGATGGTCAAGGGCAGTGTAGAAAATTTAAAGACAAAAGACTCTTGTGATGCAGTGTGCGATGTCTGGGTGAAGGCATGATTATGGCAGTTCGTTGTCATCCAGCGCCAACCGCCGTCGAACCCACGCCGCTAGAGTTTCCTAACGCCAACAAAACAACATCCAATATCAATATAATTAAAAATATATAATAAGAGACATTTCTGGATATTTTTCTTGTAATATTCGCAGATAACCTAGCTTCTGTTCATTCCAATCCGTTGTCACTAAAACCCAAACATAGGTAAAACACGCGCGTGACTCAGTTTCAGCGACTTATCGTATAATTTACCAACGTTTTACCCAATTTTAATGACGGGAAATATATTTTTAATTACATATCCATTAAAAAATTGAACTTAATAAATAATGTGCCTTGCATGCAACCTCTTCGTTAGTGGTTATTATAGTTAGCAGGTTAAAGGTTATTACCAATAATGTTGATAACACTTTTAAACAAATGAAGCATGCTTTTGTGTTGACCGCGCCTGATGAAAAAAAAAACATTTGCTAACGATAATAGTCTACAAAGCATGCATTTTTCCGTAGATTAGATCCTATTATTCGCGTATGGCAAGCACCTGCAACGTGTAAGGACCGTGTGGACCCTTAGATGATCAATGCCGTAGCTGCAGTGCAGGGTCGATGTAGTCTTCATAGTCGCGGGTGTCATCAGGTCCCTCATACTCGCCCTCTTCTACCTCCTCTTCCCCGACATCCTCTTCTCCCCCAACTCCCCTGTCTACTCCCCGTTCCTCTGCACTATTCACCACCGGCCGAGCCGCCTCCTGCCACACCCGCAATCGCGACTTTTCACACCACAAAACCACCACCCATTATTTAACTCTATTGCTCTTCAGTAAGCTACCACGTGTCAGTGAAGCCAATATAAAATAGCATCAAAAGCGGTTTATCTTACTCAAGTTTTATATTTGTGTATGAAGAGCAAAAGAGTAATTGGTTAATGTCAATGTTAATTAGCGGTATCAGTATTATTTGCATTGGGTACCTTCGAGGGCCGCCAGCCACAACCAGGTAGGGGCAAACCATCAGGCCCGAGAGGGCAGGGTGCATCGAGGCCAGGCACGCCTTGCTCACCACGATCTCCTTTGTCACCCTTCCGTCCACGCTTTCCAAGAGGACCCTGGAGACACATTTGTTCATTACTAGGTTCTTACTTAACCCTACTCGTGTGTGACAAGTGTCGTGTAGGGGGACATGCAACGAGCGTCGAAGGAAGTTGGTGTTAGTTAGCCGGATTCCCCGGAACCTGTACTTACGGCGTCTCCTTTGTAACCCTTCTCACCCTTGGGCCCCTGTAGGTTAAAAATACTTTTAATATCGCTTTGGAATAATAATAATAAACAGAGAACTGCCGACAATAATTGGGACTAACCTCGGTTCCAGGTATTCCATCTGTTCCCTGAAATTATGTAAACTGGTTAATAAAGTGATTTAACGTGATTAAATTGAAATCGTAATGAATAGTATTAGCGACTTCATCTCCTTAAGGTATGTCACTCACGGGTAGACCTGGATCTCCTCTTTCACCTTTGCCGCCTGGCTCGCCTTGTGCACCCTGCACATAAACGGCAACAGTTAAAGCTTGCCAATTTTACATTAACAACATTTAAACCGTAGACCTGAACTCACCTTCATGCCATCGAGGCCAGGCGGGCCCTGCGGAATAAGGAAGTCGTCAATGTTGGCTATGCTCTGTCGGTTTTTGCCACTTGCCCAGTGGCAGACTTCTAACACCCGAACCCCCCGTTCACATAACTACCCAGCCTTACTTCGACGCTGAGGGTAATCGTAAGAATAAGACTCCATGCAGAGGAATAGTAATATAGAGGAGTGCGTGTACATGCGCCGCAAAGAAACTCCAATATGCACCGCATGCAAATATTTATTTTCCTTGAAAATAATTTGTGAATAACAATAATTTATTTGCTCTTATGGTTATTTTACAAATGACAACTGTCCTTCTCATACAAAAACTAAATCCTTAACGTTATTAGATACATTTACACTAGACAAGAGAAAAGGATTACGACGGCCGCTGCTTGATCGTGAGAGAATAATTTTAACGTTGGTACAGTACTTAAGAGTATACAATGTTATACAATATTAATTTCACGTAATTTTGAATAGTGTTATTAAGGCAATTAAGGAAATAACGTTGGTATAATTATAAAAAGTATTTGGCGACGGCCGCCGAAGACACGATACAACAATAATCATTATTAGGCTACATACTGACATTTGTACATTTCATTTTCATTCAGTAAGTTACACATATTATACAATAGTTACGAGACTTCCGGACATTAGCTTTCTCATGGAGATCTCCATAGAAATTCAATGACCGCGCTCATCCAAAAGCTTATAGTAATATATATAGAGCAAAGACGATACAATAGAAGAAAACACAGAGAAAGAGTATAGATAAAGAGAAAATACGCTTAGAGTAGAAAGGACTACGGACGGAGCACGCGGGTCTGACGTTATTTACATACACATAGACATACTCACACACTGGCACTAGAGCGTGCCCTTACAAACATTGCTTAGAAATGGATAATAGAAATGTCTAAGCTAGGGTTAATCATACATAAATATTATTTACGATATTAAAAAAATACATTATCTACGCATTAACGCGTGCTCACGGGCGAACATATGTGGCGTTTTTACATGTATTAATAACAATATTACCTCGCAATGTTATTTATAAATGATTTCGCATCAAACAACAAGTTATTAAATGCAAAAGTGTTAAACTATATATACACAAAAACCCTGTGAACAAATTGATTATAGTAACAAAAACGTAGGAATTATAGAAAAATTACAAAGGATTTACTTTAAGCACAGATTTGCACAGGTGACTAGTCATGGTAGCTAGTTCAATATAGTAGTGCAAGGTAAAAAGTACTTACAAATGTAGTAAATGATTTCATTTAATATAATTTCGGCTTAATTGGTGTATGTATAAGGGATTCGTTAGGTAACTTTGAGCTTATGTTGACAGGGTTTTATTAATTCTAGGAATTTAAATAAGGTAAAGTACATAAACATTGTTTAAATTTTAGTACATATTACGAGTATGGACATTAATAACCAGCAATGTATTTGGATAAAAAGTAATTTGAATACAGATTATAATGTTTTCATTGATAGAGTAAAAAGTCTGCGTTTTTTTTTTGTTAAATAAAATCATAGTCTCGCGCTGTAAGTTTTAAAATGCTTAGTTTAATTTATTAAAATAAAAATAAAATGCGGTTGTATGTTTTAACGGGGTTTCAACTCCGCATCTTGTATGTATTAATATAAATCTAATCAATAAATCATTAACAAACGCAGACTTTAGAATTGTATAACGACGAGAAAGGTTTCAGTGAAAATACTCAAGCGAAAATAACTTTCTACGACGAAATGCTAATATTTTATGTAGCACCCACCGCTTTTATTTACACGGGGCTTCATTAACACACATTGCAAAGTTCGATGTCTCGAGTAAAAACTTACATATTTATACAAAGTTAACAACACTTAATACCATAATCACGGTAACATCTTAATAATATTTTACAATTTACAGCAGTGCAGCGACGCGACGACGTCACTACGTGAAGGCCAGGTGTTGCCAGCTCTCCTGCACACCACACCCCTTGTTAGTAATTCACACACACCCATATGTTGTTAGTAGTGTTGTTCATTGTCATTGGTTTTACACCCCACCCGTGACCGCTTTGTGAATCTATAGACCAACTATTCAATACAGTCTTGGACAATAGTTAAATTTTCCTGAGACCTTATCACGAATGTTACGGACAATTGAATAGCTATTGTAATGAACGATAGGCTTTGAATATTTAGAGATTTGAGGTCGAACTTTTTTGATATGTTGACAACACTGATCATCAGTAACGACTCTGTTGGATTGGATAAAACCGATGTTCTTTCCAAAGTGCAAATCATTTACAAAATTTGTAATTTCTCCAGGATTAACTAGCTAATAACAAAATCGATTTAGTAGTTAACGTATGAGCATAAAACTCGCACAACTATGATAACTAATTTAAGTAAAATATCGCAAAACGGTCTACAGGGTAGCATGCAACAACTACTTTTAATTGCAATCACTTTCAATTAGTAGACTGTTAGTGCATTTAGTACGGACGTAGGACTACGTGTGTTTGGTGTAGTGTGTCACTGTGTGTAAATATGTGTGACTTACCCGAGGCCCCGGCTCTCCGTGTCGCCCTGGTTCTCCTGTCTCGCCCGGTAGACCCACGGGACCCTGGAATGTATAGATATTATAGAGTAAACAGTTATACTATAAACTCAAAGCCATGGGCCACAGAAATGCAATAAATGTAGATAAAGTAGCGGATTTTATTTCTCTAACACTTAATACGGGTAATTTGAAGATATTAATAATAATATAATAATAGATATTATATAATACAATATTATAATAATAATAGTCTAATATTTATTTTATATATTTCCCGGAAACGCGGCACGAAATTCTTTAATGTACTTATTGAAATTGCGTGTTCCGTGTTTACTACGGCCACAGACTAAAGTAGTATGCTAAAAAGTATGCGAAATTTACTAACCGGAAGTCCCATTGGTCCAGGGTCACCTTTTTCTCCACGGTCACCCTGAAAGTAATATTGGTTATTATGACATTTCATACAAAATACTACTAAAGTAATGAAATAAACATTTGATTTGCGAAGTTAGCGAACCATATCGGAGCTATATTTAAAATAAAACTTATATTTTTAATAATAAAACGCGATTATGTATGGTAATGTCAAATTACCATACATAATCGCGATATGATAATAAAGAAGTCTCTTAGTAAATGAACTTAAATTTTAAGCTAATCTTTGTTTATTCATTAAATTCGCGTATTACGTTTAAATAACCAATCCAGTTTGTCCTAATATTACGGAAAATAAATAAATATGTTAAGTTTTTTTTTAACATTTGTATTTTGATAACGGTGTCGCTATCCAGATGATTTTGTTCTATCTATTTTTTTGACAAGAATTTGAATATGATTAGGTTACATAAAACACGTTATGATCGAAATAACAAAACAGTGAGCCATAGATATTAAGATTACCGATTTTCCTCGAATGCCAGGATCCCCCTTATCGCCCTTGATGCCGGGAGGCCCGGCGACCCCAGGAGGGCCAGCTGGGCCTGGAGCACCCGGAGGACCCATCATCTGAAACATTTTATTAACGCATTAAAAACCATAACTAAAACGTTAAAAAATCGTAAAACGTGAAATGTATAACTCAAGTTCTCTGCAATGACGCCACAGCCTGAAACGTCTTCACAGGGTCTTCACCTTGACCTCGGGCCAGTCAGTGGTTAGACTGGACAAGGATCCTACCTTTAGGTCGGAGGCTCTGATATCTTTCTTTCTTCATACTAAAATTGCTTGATGTAGTGTTTGAAATAATTTAAAAGTTATTTCAACTACCGGTAGTATAGCAAAAATGTTTCTTTTTTACCAGTAAATATATATCAAGGTAATACAAGTACATGTAAAGTAAAAATACCTCTTAGACGGTGTGTTCCTCATTCAAGTTATTAAGAATTAAGACTTATTTACCTTATCTCCTAGTCTAGTTGGTAATACAAGCGGCGTAAAACTCAGTTGGCCATAAACTTTAATACATAAGCACATAAGCATCCATCTAGGATGCTTATGTGCCTTCAAACCTTGTGTTTGTCTATTAAAAATTCCATGATACGGACACTTAAAACTCTGACCCATGCCCCGTTAGGTTTCACTTCATATGTGTTTCCGACTTATTGATCTAAATTGGATATTAACTTCGTTAAAGTTAAAAAAAATTGCAAGATTTATTGCTGTCACAATTTAATTTTGCTTTTTAATATATACAAGATATGAAAATGTAATTATTATTTTCAAATTATCATTATATAAAAACCTTAATTTCAGGACTGAATTCTTCTTTATTAACATACTAGCTAAAAAACCCGGCTTCGCCCGTGCATATGGAGTAGATATGAGATGACGTGGTAGAGTCGAAATAAAAAAATAAACTATGACGTAAAAAGTAAAAAAAAAGTTTATTGAAAACGTTTTCTCATTATTTACAATACTTGTTTATAAACAACATTTTTCATTTTATTGTCCGGAGTATATATACATAAATTTTTCGGATTTCCTACTCTTGAGCAAGCTACATATAGCTGACCGTGAGAGAAGCAGGATTCTTTGAGGTTAATGCCACAATATTTTAAAGTTTGTCCTTGCGCTTTGTTAATTGTAAAACTAAAGGCTAATTTTATTGGAAACTGCAGTCTTTTAAATTGAAATGGCAATTCCGAAGAGATCAGAGGTATTCTAGGTATAAATACTGTCTGTCCTTTGGTCTTTCCAGAAATAAGTTCAGCTTCAATGATATTATTCGATAGCTGTTTTACGATCATTCTAGTTCCATTACATAATTTTGGGGAGTTGAGATTTCTGAGTAGTATGATTGGAGTTCCAATTTTCAGACGAAGGCAGTGTAATGGCATTCCTGGTACTTGTAAAGAGTTTAGAAATTCAGTGGGGAAGTTGACACTTTCTTCAATGGATACCATCGTGTCGATCGATTTATATATTTTCTCTTCACCAGGTATTTTCTTTAGAATATTAAAATTGATATCGTCAACAATATTATTTTTAGTGGCCAAAATTGCTCTTTGAAATAACCACTTTTATTAATGTTTTGAGAACTAATTTGGATAACTAAAATTATGTCGCTTTAACTCCAAAATATAAGTTAGCTAATGACGTATAAATACACAAAATTTAATAACTTTTTTATAGCAACAAATTAAATTTAAGACTTTATTGAAATTGGAATTTTAAATTTCGTGTCACTACTACACATGCTACAATTGCTCGCAACGCTTTTGGAAATGCAACCCAAACAATCGTTGTCCTGAATGAAGTTCAAATATTCGATAACAGATGGCGCCGCTATACTTAATTTCCAAGTTGTAGGGTTGGAAAGTTCCTTATATCTTTAGAAACACGCCCTTTAGATTAAAACGGGAACTTTCTTGTTCGAGGGGGGATAAAGGGCTATCACACCACATAAGTCCCTTTATCGTGTCGGGACTCCTTTTTAAGTTTTATCGGCACGCACATTTTATCGACTTAGTTTTATTATATATATAGATATAGATATATATAAAATATACTCACAATATCATGACCGTACAGCTCGTATCCTGTGCCGTCGCCCTGCAAGTTCAACAGTGGGCATAAAGATTAACAGTTTAGACACTTAGATTCTTCTACGCTAAAATGCTTTAGCTAAAAGTTTTAAATAATTTATTAATTACTAATTTTCTACTGAAGTTCCTTATATGAGCTACATCTATTCAGTTAGGTAATGTATTTGGTTCAACAATTACCAGAACAAAAATTGGCTAAAGGCCTATTACAAAACAAAGGCAACTATAATAATAAATATAAAAAAGATAGTTACTTGTCTCCGACGTAGTTTCCTGTATTTCTGCAGCCAGCAATAATGTGAAAGTATCATGTAAAAATGTAAAATATATTCATTAATGCATAACTATTATTTATCATATTTAAGAGACAATAAATTTAAATGTATAATTGTTTTTATTTAAAACAAGATAACTCGGTGAGCATCACCTATATTTGTGTCAAAACTAAATACAAAGTTTTAAAACAGAACAAGACCTCGCACGTGATACAGCTATAAAACACAAATTTCGGAAAGCATCTCTAAATATGACAACCAAGTGACAAATATTTCCCGGCTAGGAGTAGTTTTTATTGGAAAATTTAATTGTCGTTTTTAGTATTTTACTTTACTTATTTTTATGTTTCCCACCGTCCCTAGTCTTCCACAAATATTTCAAAATCATAATTAGCCAACTCGGTCCAGCCACTCCCGAGCTTTAGCGCGACAAACGAACAGCAATTCATTTTAAAAAATATAGATAGATAGACTATTACTTGGTTCCATGTTGGATTAGCAGAGAAGTTTTAAAATATATGAAGAATTATAATGTATTTTTAAAGATATAAAGAAATAAAAAAGTCTTACAGAATCTCCTTTATCTCCTTTTTCCCCCTTGAGACCTGGATATCCGGGCGGTCCAGGCAAACCAGGTGCACCAAGCATTCCCGGTGATCCCATGTCTCCGTAGTCACCTTTACCGCCTTTAGGTCCTATTTCACCCTGGAAATCATAACATTATTATTGACTAAGTATACGCAACTACACGGCACTATACTATGAATCGTTCGGTATATCTACAGGTATATTCAGGATTTTATATATTACGATATCTAATATATAAAATTCTCGTGTCACAATGTTAGTTACCATACTCCTCCGAAACCGCTTGACCGATTTTTATCAAATTTTATAAGCATATTCGGTAGATCGGGGAATCGGCTACTATCTATTTTCATACCCTTAAGTGATAAGGGTTGTCCACCCCTAACATTTTATTTTTATTTTTTGGACAAATTTAAATTTAATTTTTTTTATAATGTGCCATTAAAAATACATACAACCCTAAATTTTCACCCCTCTACGATCAACCTATATTTTTTATTATAGTAGATAGTTATTTTTATTGAACTAAAAAAATGTTTCCTAGAAATAATATACATGGCAAAACGACATTTGCCGGGTCAGCTAGTTATAATATATGAAATCCTGATTAATCTTAGTTTTGGTTGAAGCTAGTGCAATTTAATAAAAAATGTATTAGATGTATCTTATAATATTAAAATGGCTGTGCAACCCATACTGGAGTACATAATGGAGTATTAAAATAGTTAATTTACCGGTTTTCCTGGGGGTCCGGGTACACCCGGATCACCAGGCCGTCCGTCCAGTCCTGGGGGACCACGCGGGCCCGCCGTTCCTGCCACACCTGAAAAATGGGCCAACAGAACTCATGAATACATTTTACCAAAACATTAATATCACAGAAGACAGATATAGCACGTTCTGTTATGAACTGTATAAACAGCTTATTTACCTTAACATGATTAAGGCCAGCCCTGTTGAAGTCCACACCACACAAGCACGCATCTACGCTGTTCTGTACCAAATGCTACACAAGTGACATGCAGTAAACATGCAATCTCATGCTAATGTTTAACCCTTAGCGGATCGTAAGCAAAATCACGGCAAACGCAAGTACAGAAATAGTTGAAAACACCCCTCTGTAGAAAGTCGTGCTTCACGCGGGCAGAATGGGCGAGATGGGCAGAGAGCCAGTGGGCAGGTGGCAAATGTTACTGTTAGTATAAAATATGTTCATTTGGACTTGATTAGAGCAAGTACATGTATAAAGAATTTTTCAACAAATTTCGAAAGAGCTTGTTGATTAATGTATTATGTGGACTTTGTGTGTTTGTGTGTTCGTGTGTTACCCGTTTGCCGCGCTTTCCGCGAGCGCCACGCTCTCCGGGCGGTCCGGGTGCGCCGGCCGTTCCTCTCTCGCCGCGAGGTCCTTCAGCCCCTTCAACACACACCCTGAGTTACACACCCCACCTATACCCGCTACACACACTAACATCCACTACCCTTTACACTCAGGACTACCATTCAGTATTTAGGCGCTACAAAAAGATACACCAAATTTTCTACAGATTCAATATTAACATCTAAAAATAATGTTTAAATTAAAATCCAATCAACTACAAAATAGGCATTAATATGTTATCTATAGCAAAGCCACCATTTAAAGCATTAATGTTAACCCTATGTTAATATTATAGCTTCTGTGTTCGCTTCAGCAACGTGTTGTTATTTTAACTTCAAGTGCAGTGATGGTCAGTCTCTTCAGAACTATCAAATATTTCTGAAGCTGACCCCTTAAATTTTATTTTAGAGTGTGTACCGGGAGGTCCAGGGGGGCCAGGTGGTCCTTCAATAATTCCTGTGGGGAAGGCGTCGCCCTTCAAGGTCGTAGTGTAACCGCGCTCGCCCTTGTCACCGCGATCTCCCTGAAACACATCGCAACTTTATTTGACAATTGTTCTTTTTCCTTTTTAATTATTGGACAGTTAAATAAATTAGGATATATAATAATTGTATAGTCCAAGTCCACACTTTAACATGAGTTTTCTCTAAATATTTTTCTATGATTAGAAAAATTAATAAACAAAGTTTTTTAAGCATACAATATCTTAGGGAGGGGTCAGACGGTCAATAAATATCGCGATTCCATATCACGATATCTGTCTCAATATACATTGAATCAACTGGTCGTACTACACTTTCATTAGATATTGACTTTAATATCGTCAGTAGATCATTCTTTCGTGTTTCGTAGTAATGGACGATAAAAGTAAGGCCTGTATTATGGGCCTGTATTGCCATAATACAGGCCAAACTTTAACTTATATATTTAGGTAAGTTCATTAAAATAATAAATTTGCGTAATCAGTTATATACTTTATTTTTTAATAAGCATTAACACAAAAACACTTTACGTAGGTTTATTTTGTAAAAACAGTGATTCAACATCTTACTCTGAGTGCTCATCCAAGTCAACACAACAACATAACAGTCAATACATATTGACAGAGATGGTTCACAAAAAAAATCTAGATTTTATGTCAATATGCTCAATATTTATTTCTGCCGCGTTTACACATCAATTAATATTGACGAGCTCTCAAGATCCCGATTTATATTGACCGTTTGACCCCTGAAATGTATCTAGATTAGTCTAGCTAGAAAATGAAACCGTTGTTAAATTTTTACAAAATATGGTAAAACTTAAAATATAATTTTGTATAATAAGCGACACATCTCTATTTCTATTACTATATCACGTATGTACTAACGTTACAAATATCTTTGAGTAACAATTAAGATTTAATAGTCATAGTACCTTATGTCCTATAAGTCCGGGGGGTCCAACAGGCCCAATGGGGCCAGGTGGTCCAGCCGGTCCAATGGGGCCTGCGGGTCCGGGAGCTCCAACAGGACCAAGACGGCCCTCGGCGCCTGCAATTCCGTCAGATCCGGGCGGCCCAGGCGCACCTGGAGGGCCTGGTTCTCCGGGTTCACCCTATATACAATTATGACAGCAACAGTTTTAAAAGCCTATAGCTAAGATAGTTAAAATTTTAATTAAACACAATTTATAGAGATATTAGTTTATATTAATAATAAATTGTAATTTAATTAATAAAGTTACAATATAAGGTAATTAAACATACAATAATTAAGTACAAAAATATTATTAGATACATATAACATGCATAAAACTGAAGCAAGCAACATGCAACGAAATGAAGAGGGACATTGTGTATGATAATTACGATAGCCCACATCATTATTTCTTCCGTTTAATAAGAAATCGAATCGGATTCTGATTCCGATTCCGGAATTTACTTCAGCAACTTCAAATAAGTAATAAAAATTAAACAGTCTTGCAGTCTGGCACCAGGTGGTTCGGCATCCCATGGAACATAGTACCAGCAAATCAATGTACAAGATATAGTCTACAATGAAGTCTCCGTCGTGTTAGGGTGTATCTCTATTAAATAAGTTTTTTTTATTCGATTTTACTTGAGGTGATAGTGAAGTATAAATCATTTTTCAAACATTCTAGTTACACATATTATGTTAAATATCCATTGCACCCCCTTCGACCCGCATAAGCAATACCTGCATCCCTCTGACACAACAGCATTATAAAAGGAAACTGACAACGGACATCGACAGCTTTGATCGGATTGAATCGGATACCTCATATCGGACCTCTAATTAGTAATAAGTCTAAAATATAGATTAAGATTAACTTTTTAACTTTTTTTTTTACTTATTAAAAGTCACAAAGTAACTAAAACTTAGTGACTGTGTTGAGTATATCAACAGAGCGTCAAGTGTAATCTGTGAGATTTCGATATTTTCTTGTAAAGTTTTAGTATTTAAAAGTTAGTTTGTGTTATTGAGTTAATAACGAGAGTATATATGTGGCAAAGAAGACTTTTTTGTTAGTAGTTATTTTGCACAGATTGCAGTAGCGTGTATTTAGTGCAAATCTCACCTTAAGTTGGATGATGGACTGCGCTGAGATGTTGTGCCCGGCCGCCTGCAGACCCTACGCACACCACTAACTACATACACACATACATGCACAGCCGTCACACTAGATAGGAAACTCAGCCGATTAATACTTTACGTATAAAAAGTTGAGTTTCGTAAAACTAGTGTGCGACTTGACAACAAACTAAAATCATTGCTCCCTTAACGTCATAACGTGACAGAAGAAATCTATGAGCTGTATAAATGATTTGCAAAATAAATTTAACCCGTTTTAACCTACAAAATAAGCGCAAAATAATTCGTAAAGCACTGATTGTTCGGAGGCTGTACCTTGACAGCGATAATCTCTGCGGTGGTGTACGGGCTCATCTTATAGTTGTCCACGGAGCGTTTCACGCCCTGTAACCGCCCGTTATTAGTAACTGACTATAGTAAATAGCTATTTCGTTTATTTCTAATATTATTGGGATATAGCTTCTAATAAAACCTAACTTTACACGCGTTGCTTTATTGCTGACTTAATATACTTTTATTTGCAATTGTCAATTAAAACTGTTTTGCTACACTTATAATCTTTAAATATATAATTATATTGTACGTGTGTAGATCTCCTCTTAAATGGCTGATCCGATTTGAATGAATTTTTTGTATGCGTTTTCGTGGCGTCTTGTATGGTTTAGATACACAAATCAGGCCGGCAGATGGCGTTGTAGTTGGTAACAAGGTTATTTACCTATACAGCATAAAAACAGCTGGTATATATATAAATCTTCTGTGCATGTGTACGTAATAAAACTCCTAAACGGCTGGACAGATTTTGATGAGATTTTTTGTGTGAGAGTACATTATTCGTATGTACAGGACAACGTCTGTCGGATCTTGTTATATAAGAACAATTCACCTAAAGCTGTATTCAGTTAAGAAAAATATTTTATTTAACTTATTAACTATAAAACTTTACCAACTGTTTATTGATGAAACTTTGTTAATAATATAAATTACTTTTGAGCCGTCTTATTAAGTATTGTCTTTTTTTATTTCATTATAAAGTATTGTCTTACCTTAACCGCTGAAAAGACATCAAAACCTGGACTGCCATGTTCGCCTTTATGCCCTTTGTCTCCGGGTCGGCCCTGGTATATGATAAAATTAATAATTAATACAACAGTGATGCTGCAACTTACATGGGGCTTGACCACTTAGGTTCATGGTAAAAAAAATATCGAAAAGTAACAAGCATTCTATGTATGACACATATAAAAGTGACACCCGTATCACCTAGACGTCCGCCGTTCCACAACTGAGCGTTTTTCAAGGCAGTTTTTGCCGCGCACCACCACTATGTGGAATCAGCTGCCCACTGAAGTATTTCCGAACCAATTCGACTTAGGGTCCTTCAAGAAAAGAGCGTACCAATTCTTAAAAGGCCGGCAACGCACTCGCGAGCCCTCTGGCATTGAGAGTGTCCATGGGCGGCGGTATCACTTAACATCAGGTGAGCCTCCTGCCCGTTTGCCCCCCGTTCTATAAAAGAAAAAAAAATTGATTTTAAGGTCTAAGACATACTGGTGACATACGAGTTTATTTGCGAATATAGAAAGTTATATCCATTAAAGTACGAACTCAGTGTTAGTTGCATGCTTAAGCCACTTTCAAACTCTTCATGAAGTGTACTAGTTTTCATCTGACTTCAAGAACCACATCCTCATAATGACTTTATGCATTTACCAACTAACAAACAATGTTAGTTATCTTTATTATCCTGTGTATATGAAAAGCTTTTTTCGTAGCATAAATAACTATCATTTTGTCTGTTTAGATACAGAATACTTTTAGTAGGTAAACTTGGATGATCATATTTGTAGTAATGCTACTACTAAGTGGATAGGGGACAGCGTATATATAGGGGAAGATCGTTACCCTTCGTACGCGGGGCACATTCATACAGTCAAAATAAAACTTGAACGAAATAAAGTACAGTCTTGCTTTTGTATGTGTGCATGAGTCGAGGTACCAACTATACATCAACGAAGTTTCGTGAAATTCGCACCGATGAGAGTGAAGTTACAGGCATAGACGTGTTTTCGCGCTCGGTAAGTAATTTTTGATCTATGTTTTTATCTCTTGTTACCGTAGATAAAATAAGTTTTCGTGTAGAGTATTCTATCAGTAACTAGCAAAATATACTTAAGATACGTCTCCAATACTTAATTTATGACGTTTTCCTATTAATATTAAAATAAGTTATATTTTGTTGTTATTCAGTTAGTGGGGTACATTCGGACAGCACTAGATGGGGCACATTTGTACGAATTGTACAACTAAATTTGTATAATAATTTGTCGACGCGAACTGTCTTTTTCATTCAAATTAAGTTTTCGACTTTCTACATATTACACTACTGTTAAGGCATCTTGACTAAGGTTGATTTTGATGCTTGTGAACCAGATGCTGTGAATAATTTACCAATCCATCAAATAGTAGTTCCTTCGAAGTCAGTTTTGACACCAGAGGCATTTCGACCCTATTCGCATTCTGTAAGAAGTAATAAAACAAGCAAAATGACGATGACGGCCAGGAAAACCACGAATTTATACTGCCACACCCGAAAATAAGAAGTTGTAATCCACACCAAAGAGTAAAAAATGTAATTCTAAATTTAAGATACCTAACTAATTAAATTTTGTTTTACATAAGAAAAGTATTTTATTTTTGTTTAATAGAAATTAAATCTTTATTTTTGTGTTTAATTTCATTGCTAATAAATGAATTTTGAACTACCCCACAGCGTAAGAAGATACCCCAAACACTGTACGAAGGTGCCCCGTTGATGGGGCAGATTCGTACGTTTTCCAGATTTAGTTTAAATCATAATTATGGTTGAAACATCGGATGAAATCATTTGTCATTTTTTTATTTGAATCTCAGATAGTTAGACTATAAATTTAAGCTATCAGGTGATTGATTCATGGAAAAATAAAAAAATTAAAAAATAAAATGTGAAAACCGTACGAAGGGTCCCCACCTTCCCCTATACTTAATGTATATAAATTACGCGTCACGTTGTTTGTCCGCTATCGACACCTAAACTACTTAACCCATTTCAATCTAATTTGCACACCGTATGCAGTTTGATCGAACTTAAAAGATAGCATAGCTTACATCTTAATTGATACCCGCAATATTTTATTGCAAATTATTTGTTTATTATTTGACAGTCACAATTCTAACAGATGGCGCTGTGGTGAAAGTACCAACGTTTGGACTGGTGTTCTCCTGCCCTTTCCCTTGAATAGTTTACTACTATGTAATAATAACAAAAATCTTAGCACAGCAACGCTTGGCCGAGTCTGGTAGTAGAAGACAGATTATACTATTGATAAATAGTTTATAAGATATTCTATGCACTCACCGGATCTCCCTTTGGCCCATCTAACCCTATTGGACCCTGGAAATAACATAAAGAATTATTGACTTGATTAAACACGTTTAACTGTTAGTAAGTAAAAATTAGTAATAGTTAGTGCACCAAATGACAACTACACCAATGATTGTGTGTATCCTTCAAATAAATCAAAACGTCAATAAAACATAAAGTATCTAAGATTCGTATTATGCGCCAACAAAGGGGCGCTCTAACGACATAATTAGCACACAAGTTTAGTTTAAAGGTAGCATATTCGATATATACAATTTTAGATTAAAAACTAACTTTGATTTTCCGAGAAATTAAGACAGTTAGAAAGAGTCATGACAAAAAATACGTTTTTTTATCGTTTTTCAGATCATATTTTACCCACTTTCTATACACGTGTTAAAGACTAAATGACTTTTTGTAAAGTGACCAAATGACTTATCATTTTGTACAAATCAAATCCTTTAATTGGAGAAGAAGTCGATTTCGCTGCTATGAAGCCAAACATTTAATCAAACTATACATTTTTCTGTTTATTTGAAGTGATACATCCAAATGGATATTATTATTAAATATTTCTAAACATAAGCTGTCTTAGATTAAGTCGAGCTATTCAAGATATTACAGATTTAATTTTGCAATAAAACAAAAACATCGTACGTGGGTAATCTTTGTTTAAAGAACTCAAATCAATTATTATTATAAGATTTTCTTTTTTAACTTTAACCAGCTTTCTTAAGGCCGGAGACATTAGCCTATAATCGTTATTATTTCTTGAGTAAAAAGAGCAGCTACCGTTTACCTAGGTGATTCACCCAAATATCGAACGGTCACACAGATTATGATGACATGCTTTGCACTACAGGGCCACCAAACAATCAAGATTAGTATGTACAAATGAAACTGTTACTACTTCTACACCAAAAGACATTGTGGATAGTTGAAAGGATTTGGAGGAATTCTACAAACTAGCGAAATCACCCAAATTAAAACACATTAGTATTTTAGTAAAACGAACTACCAGAGCTACATTCTCGGCTATTCGCAAAATAACGACGATTACATAATAAACGCCGGTTTTCTCGTCACTCCCAATAGCGATCGTGATCCCAACTGATGGATTACAAATTGGGTACAAAATCGCTATTCGCTTAGAGGTACATAATACTAGCATAGTCTGTTATTTTGGGAAATAGTTACGAATGTATGAGCGGGTTGGATGGGGCGAGTATGCGGGGAAAGGGGGGAGGGCTTACCATGAAGCCGCGTTCGCCTTTCTCGCCCTTGTTCCCCTGAAACCGAACACCGATTTACTGACTACTCGTAACTCCCTCTACCATAGACTACTGTAGAGGAAGCTGCCAACAATTGAGTATCTGCCATTGCACAGATAACATATTAATAGTTCCATTTTACCAGACTCATTCGGTCAAATAGAACGATGAGTTGTCACAGGTTTGATAAGGTGGAGAAGACAGAATCAAAGATTAATCTAAGTTGAAGTGATTTCAGACAGGTGTGCATTAAGAACCCTTGGCTAAGTTTGAAAAATTCAAAATAAAGAAAAGTAATAAAATAAAACAAAATAATAATACCGGAAATCCATTTTTGCCCGGTGCTCCCATCAACCCCTGAAAATATAATAAATATAAAATAATAGAACGTAAATAAAACAAAATAAGAGTAATCATATACTGTTGGAATACATACTGCTGGTCCAGGTTCCCCAGTATCACCCTTCTTTCCTTTCTTCCCTCTCTTTCCAGGCGGTCCTGGCGGCCCTGAAAAGTACGAAATTAAGTTTAAAAACATTACTAGATCGTTCAGGTGAACACTGTTCAAGTGGTGATGATGACCCGGTACCTACTGCTATACTCCACATAGTTTAAAATACGTAAATTATTTAGCGTTCACGTAAGTGAGGTGTAGTGCAATGTACTGTAGTGTCATGTAGTGCACTTGTCACCGCGCAGAGTGCTCTTGGAACACACGGTATACGGCCCTCGCTGGGCACGCCCCACTCGATGTAATATACTAGGAAAAACTGAGTTACGTGAGGTAAAAGCAACGTAGGTCAACGTAGAACAATAGCTTATTTAATCTTGGCCCTTACTCTGTAGCCAACAGTTAGAGCGATACTGATTCCGACAGTTTTGTAATTTGTGTAGTTCTATCAATAGTAGCGCTGATGTCGATGTTGGAATCGCGCCGTACAAAAACTCATTCTTAGGATCGGGATCTAAGTTATGGAGAACGTGATGGCCTCCCTTCGTTGTAGGTTCGAACCCCGGCTGTGCACCAATGGACGTTCTATGTGCGCATTTAATCGCTCGTATGGTGAAGGAAAACATCGCGAGGAAACCGGCATGCCTTAGAAATACAAAAGGACGGGTTATGTCGGGCACAGCAGGTTAACTTACCTGTTAGTAAAAACAAATTATCACGAAACACTTACAGATTTCTAAAGCCCAGAATTTGTATCGCTACTGAATTTTTAAGTCAAATAAAACAATCATAAATTGGTCGATCATAAGTGGATTGTAGATCCTGTCTTTGCTACGCGCTACAGCCTACGACTGTTTCTTTAATATTTAAATATCTAGTAAGGTAAAGTATCAAAGGCAGCTGTTCAGTTTCCAATGGATATGTTTCAATTGTAATAAAATTTAATCTGGTGTCGGAGGGGACATTAGGCCGCTGGGCAAAGGGAGGGCTGAGGGAGAAACATCGCCGAAAGCGCTTCTTTAATTAAATATCGAAGATTCTTTGTGCGTACTCAGCTGAACTAGAAGACCTCAATAGTATACTTATAATGTAAAATATCACATTAAACTAATATTACTGTTTGAAACAAGAGCGTGAAATATTAGGAAAGTTATCAAGTATCTCATGCAAAACTGCACGCACCAGGTCGTGTCTATTATGCGTGTTACTAAAGACAACGGTGAATTATTAATTTATGTCACGTAAGTATTAATTGTATTTAAACAAGTTTATTGACTTCTAAGTTTTTTTATGATTTGACTATGTAATCGTGTAAACCAAAAAAAAATTACACTGCATACAATATAGCATCTACTCTTCTCCAGTGCCATCTCGAAAAAAAGAGTTGCCATCATAGGCTGGAGCACTTGTTGTCATCGGAGAATTAATTGATATATCGTTTGCGTTTAAGATTTTTATGGATCGGGTTGATTGCCCTGATTATTTAACTAAATTTAAATTTCGTGTACCCTCTAGATACCCCAGGCATCCCATCATCCCATTTGTCTGTTCATAAGAACGCGCTTAGGCCAAAGCTCCCGATACCCAAATTGAACATTCCGATAAACAAGTTGTGGATATCGATAGTTACTTCCCACACACTTAGAAATCAATTTTCTTTAGTTTGAATGATTATGAATCCATGTATTTTTTCTCTCTTCGTTTTTGCCTTTAAGAGCTTGTCACATAAAATCTTGTATTTTATTTTTTTGTTTTTGTTTGCAGAGCCTTGGCAAGTTTTTGTAAAAAAATAATAAAATGAAATATTTTTATGTAGGATTGATTTCGTAGAGCTTCAAAGGATTTAACATTACATATAACCTTTATATAATATCGCAACATACGTGTGTGTATTTTACTTAAAGACGCGACATCCAGTTTCTTAAAGCTTGGCTGGTCCCTGCCTTCAGATAAGCAAGTTAATCCGAGGGTGAAATATGTGTCTGTGCAAGGCGGGAGGAGACGGGATTGCGCACAAATCGAGTTAGCGCTAAGCATCATCGCGCAGCACTTCAAAAAGTAATCTCATTTTTTCCAAGCCCCTCCGAGCGACTAATGAAAATATTGTGTTTGGCGAAATCGAGCGATTACATTGCGTGACAATTTGAGTCCTCGAAATCGCCCAGTTAGCATTATTTATATCGTGCGAATTTTCCCCACTAAAGTTGCGATCGTTGTATAAAAGTTAGAACCAATATTTGAGCGTAGTTTGAGAAAGTCGATAGCCGATAAAGCATCTCGCTAACTTTACAGTCGTCAGCTGACAATTACATCTTATATCTGTGGCCAAGCTCCTCCGAACTTCGCACGGATAGTTGGCAAACTGTTCAAATGTTTATTGGACGCTAGTCCGGTATAGTTGGTGTTCTGATAACGTTATCACATAAGGATCTCATTCTATGATCTTTAGAATCATATAGGATTTCGTAGCGAAAAATAAATGAATCTTTTGAAAACGCTGTAAGCTAGGACTCAATGGCACTGAATTTTTTTTATACGAACTACCTGACCCGGCAAACGTTGTTTTGCCATGTATATTATTTCTAGGAAACATTTTTTTAGTTCAATAAAAATAACTATTTAATGAATCATAAAAAAATAAAAACAAAAAATTTTGTCGAAAAAATAAAAAAATTTTTTTTTGGGGTGGACACACTTATCACTAAGGTATGAAAGATTAATATGCATAAAAAATTTCATAAGAATCGGTCAAGCCGTTTCAGAGGAGTATGGAAACGAACATTGTGACACGAGAAGTTTATGTACACTTGGCGTCAAAAAAATCGCACCTTCCTTTAAATTCGTGTCAAGCGATTATAACTTCTAAGATCCTTCCTTTACCCTATCATTATTAGTATCATTTAAAAGCTCAATTAATAAGCTTTCAAAAAAATATTATCATTTGTTTACGGAAAATCAAAAACCACAAATCATCAGCACTTTGATTAAAAAGTGGCGATGTACGCGTTTGGAGGCTCACTAATTGTACCACCCTGGACGCGTATATAACGAGGGGGTAAAAGTCAATGATGGGTTATTCGCTATCCAGACGTCACAGAGGTCACTCCTGAAGAGCTTCGACAAGAAAAAACCCAGTGAAAATGGATACCATGGAAAAGAAGCAGCTCAAGTGGTGGCCCTACTGCAAATCGGACTACGGCAGGTTAAAATTGCTCGGCAACTGAAAATCAGCCGATTTCGAGTGCAACGGGTATACCAACGGTTCCAAGAGACTGGAGGTTACAAAAGGAGACATGGATCCGGGAGACGTCGCTGCACTACCGTCAGAGGTGATCGCTCCATTGTGTCGACGTATTTGCGGAACCGCTTCTTCAACGCTGTGGAGCTGCAGCAGCGGCTTTGAGCTACTCGAAGGACAGCTGACAGCGTCTCCACTATCAGAAGAAGGCTGTGAGAGAAGAATTTGCTGCCCCGGAGAGCTGCTACAGGCCCCCTATTGACTGCCATCCACCGGAGGAAAAGAAGCGATTTTACGAAAGCACGTGCCGTGGACATTCGACCAGTGGAGGAATGTCCTGTTCTCCGACGAAACCCGAGTGTGCCTGTACACCAACAACATGCGTAAGAGAGTCTACAGGCGGCCAGGGGAGCGTTTCACACCAGCCTGCACCGTGGAAACCGTCGGGTATGGAGGAGGATCCTGCATGTTCTAGGGCGGTATTTCTATCGACGGCAAGACAGACCTCGTGTGCGTCTCCAGAGCTGGAGATGGTCGCGGCCAGGGGTCTCTGACTGCCCACCGGTATATCACCGAGGTTTTGGAGGAGCATGTGGTCCCAACTGCATGTTTTGTCGGCGCCAACTTCGAGTTCATGCACGACTACGCCCGGTGCCACACAGCCTTGATTGTTAAAGACTACCTACGTCGAGTTGGCATCAAGGTTATGGACTAGCCAGCAAGAAGCCCCGACCTCAATCCTATCGAGCACCTCTGGGACCAGCTGAAACGGCGAGTTCGGGCCCGTAATCCAGCTCCTGCCACTCTCGATGAGCTTCGAGATGCCGTCATCGAGGAGTGAGACAACATTCCCCAGGAACACATTGTGACGCTCATCAGGTTCATGACTGACCGCTTGGAAGCTGGTCGGAGGGATAGAGGAGGCAACACTAGGTTTTAAGACTAATTTTTAAGGATTGTCATTGTTTATTTTTAATTTTTGTATTGTTCCTTTTATTTGTAATTTTGATCAGAATACACATTGTTTCACATTTTCCCAGAATTTTATTTTTTTATGGGGGTGGTGGCCAATTTCCTACCGTTTTCAAATAAGGGATTTCATTAGCTTTCAAATGATACTAATAATGATAGGGTACAGGAAGGATCTTCGGAGTTATAATCGCTTGACATGAATTTTAGGAAAGGTGCGATTTTTTTGACACCGAGTGTATATAGAGATGATATCATCTACGTATATGTGTTGTGTATTTTTAATGAATATTATAAGTACTGTGTTACAAACATTTATGAATAATTAAAAACATTTAAAAACCTTTTATTGTAATAGCTTGCGGCTTTAAAATTAAAGTAGACGGTATTATAAAAAGAAAATTAAGTTAAACGTTGTTATTTAATACCGAGCGCATCAGCAAATTACATACAATTTCCGTTTTTATGAGATGCTCTTCGGCGTACAAAGGCCTTCATTAGGGTGAGTGGTAAAAAAGTCTCACCAAAAGCTCTCCACATGGTCACGTCGTATGGTACTCGCCTACAGGGTATACTATTTTTTAATTTGTTTTGTAGTATACTAAAATATATTCAAAATTATATAACAATACTACCTGACCCGGCAAACGTTGTTTTGCAATGTATTTCTAGGAAACATTGTTTTTAGTTCAATAAAATAACTATCTACTATAATAAAAAATAGGAGTTGTTCGTAGAAGGGTGAAAATAAAGGGATGTATGTATTTTTGTATGCAGTATCATAAAAAAATAAAAACCAAAAAAATATTCTAAAAAATAATAAATAAATATTTAGGGTGGACACCCCATATATTTATACAACACTTAGGGGTTCGAAAGGTAGATAGTAGCTGATTCTCAGACTTACTGAATATGCATTAAAAAAATCACAAGAATTGGTCGAGCCGTTTCGGAGGAGTATGGGAACGAACATTGCACTGCATATATATATTTTATTGTAAATATTTGTAAATCAATAATGTTGTCACTACAACTTCTACATAATCTCATAATATAATCATAATGTGTTATGCTAGCGCCATCTAGGGCGTAATAAGTGAGACGCAGAAAGATGACAGGGAAAAGGGATAGGTTGCAATAAAATCCTGTATAAACTGTAATTTTTTATGGTTTTTGCGAGTCCCCAAACAATACAGTGTATTGTGTGCTAATGTAGACGTCAAATTCAAGAAATAGGACGCTAACACATAAATTCGTTCGCTATCAAATCGTTTAAAACTTGTCAATCCCCATTTCATTTACAATTTACAAATATTACCCAATAAAAAGTTATTTTTGTAGTATTTACTTTTATTTAGGAATATTCGATTTTTGATGTGAAACTTTTTGGGCGCATGAGGGTAAAAGTTATACGGATGAAACGCAATAATAATAATATTAGCGTCACGAAGATGTGCAGCGTTTTTGTCGAAGAAAAGGGAGAGAGCGATTGAGACCGATTGAGAGAGTGGGAAAAGACGAATACACGCTATTGGTTGATGTATTCGTTTAGTAGTTACATAACGTCTTGTGCAGTAAACGCAGATTTTTTATTTATTTATATTATCATTAGCACGTATACAGTGTGAATATAGATATACAAATACATGGAGTGATCATATACTTGTACATGATCATCTATTGGAGCTTTTACCTTAGTAATAATTAATTTACAAAGAAGTTTCACTTCTGACATGTGTACTTTGTCCGCACGCACTTTTTTTATTTCATGCATTAAGTATTAACGAAAAAATATATGACGAACGTCACTTTTCGTGTTAATATGAGGTATGATTTATGAAGTTACGTCGTAGATTAGATTACCGCGCGTGTCAGAGAGCGCGTCTTGGCCCTCTTTTGACGACGTTGAGGGGAGGAACTAACTTAACGTTTGAATGTCCTCCTGCTTTACGGGGATTTTTATATTCCCAAGGTAATTTATGACGATTTTCAGTTCAATGAAAACGTCTAGTTCGTTAAAATGGTAGGTATTTTAGTGAAGAGATTTTAGATTTTTTTTATCAAGTTTTGTAAATAAACCTTATCACACTGATTCATGAATTAAAGTAATTTGTTAAAAGACTAATTATTATGTACAGCTTTGGTTAAGATTCTATTGAATGCAAAGGCAATACAAATAAAAATTGTAATTTAATTAATGCTTTTTAGTGCATTTTGTTGGAATATTTTTTGTTAAAATTTCTTTTAAAGATTTGACAGGCCCGGGAATTACAATTTATTTTATTAGACATTTCAAGCACTTTACCTGATGTTATTATTTATAATTAATATAAAATAATACAACCAACTGTGCCGCATGCTATTTTTTGGGACAGGAGGCATACGGGCAGATACGGCGGTAAAGACATGTAAGTTTGCAAATGCGTTGCGGGCCTTTAAGGTTCTCGTACGTTCTTCTCTTGAAGCCGCCTTAGTCGGATCAGTTCGGGAATACTGGAATTAAATGCTATTCATGGTTAAGACATGGTCTATACCTTGCATTATATAAAAATAAATCAGTGGTGCTCCAAAACACTTTCAGGTTCAGATCTCTGTATCTGTTTTATGATCATTTGTCGCAAAAAAAGTTCATTCGTAAACAGCCGGGGATCGAACCTAATATCTCAGGTATAAGAGTCGCACGCTGAAGCCACTAGGCCAACACTGCTCTATATCTTGCATAGACCTTATATATAATACACAATTGAAAAACAAAAATAAGATAAAATTGGTATCGCAAACATGAATCATGGTGTTGAGTTACGCCCGCATCATTAATATTATTCCTCTT